CCGTGCAGTAGGTGACGGATCAGAAGCCGCCAAAACCAACATACTAAGTAGCGTTCAGAACGACCACTTTGCAACGCATCAAACAATGGGTTTGCCCCGATCAGCGTATTTGAAGGTTGGGGACCGCTACATGATCACCTACAACTTGGAAACAAGCGATGGTCTCACAAATGGCGCAACAGGTCAATTAGTCCAGATCGATATGGGTAGCTCAGGTTTGGGGCAAAATCAGCGGAGAAAACCGTCACGGGTATGGATCGTGTTCGATGAAGCACAAGTTGAGAACAATGCGCGAAGGAGATACAGCGCCATTATTGCCCGTTACCAGTACCCTGAAGACTGGACCCCAGTGGAGCCCACAGTTGTATCAATCAAGCGAAACCGGTCGTCAAATTTGCAAGTACTCAGAAAGCAGTTCCCACTGGTACCTGCTGAGGCAATGACGATACACGAAAGCCAGGGGCAAACGTATCCATGTGTTGTCGTTCATACCACAGCAAGAATGACGCGTGATCTGCTCTATGGCGGGCTTTCACGAGTCACTTCACTTTCTGGCCTTTACATCATTGGATCCTTCCAACCTCCTCGCGGACCGCTGAACAATGATGCATTAACGTCGGAGCTGAGACGTCAGGAACAGTGCACGTTGCAGCCATCATTTAAATTTTTGCACACCGCACACAGCGCAATTCAAATTATCTACCACAATGTTCAAAGTTTCGCGAAACATAGCCAGCAGATCGCAAAAGACCAAATTTTCACAAGCAGCGATGTAATATTGCTTGGTGAATCTTGGACATTGCCGGCAGACGAAATCGCTGTTAATGGATTTCACACAGTATCACGAACGACTGCAGTGGTATCCGTAGAAAGGCCGGAGGAGCGTGTTGCTTAGTTTCGGAAAAACTGTTAGTAAATGTGCGAGACTCCAAGAGCATAACAAAGGACGACAGGAGTGCTCTTCATGCAGCGGCTTTTAAAGTACACGAAATTCTGATTGCCTCAGTGTATGCTAGCCCTGGAGTGACGGACGAGAGTATCCAAATGCTGCTGGCAGAAATCTGTTCCGCAGAAGAACGAAAGCTTATGCTGGGAGACTTCAATCGCGATACAAGCGCCGGTCGTAACCAAACTTTCCAGGACATGGTACAGCGACTAGGTCTATCAATCAGAAACGCGAGTCAACCAACAACAGCCGCAAATACAACTTTGGATCTGGTCTTAAGCAACTTTGACGTAAGTTGCGGGACACACATTTCACTGATAAGCTTCCATGTACTCATTTGGGTGCGGTATGTAACCACCGAGCAACTCACAGGTCCCTGAACAGCACTTCACACGGAGAAAAATAAAACGGTCTATGACACAGCAACATCAAAAACCACCGGTTTTGAAAGCTCCAGAATGCCAGTTCTCGCCTTTCACAGTCCCCTGGATTCTCAGCAGAGAGCTATCACGTAGCACTTATACTAGCACTGTTTCTTCAGAAAAGCAAGGGAAAGAATTACACATTCCCGTTGAACACTCCGATTGCTGAGGACAGCAAAGAGAACCTCTCAGAACCACCGCTGCAGACATTATGACAGATAGTCTACAACTTCTTCATGAATAGCTGCAGCGCAAACCACTAATGCATAGACAAATGTTAGACTCAGGATTGAAGTCAGCGGAAAATTAGAATTACAGTCCACGCGCCACGTTACAAGTTTGTCGTTCCATGCTGTCTTCTCGATAAACCGACTCGTATTCCGACTTCACTGCATCGTTTTACTGTTCACTTCTCTTTCTCTTTTTCTACGAACTAGGCCGGTTTCTCGAAGCGGCTGCATCGCTTCATTGTTCACTTCCCCTTCTCTCTCTCTCTTTCGATGAACTGGGCCGGCTTCTCGATCAGAATGTACCGCTTCACTGTTCGCTTCTCGTTCTCTCTTTCTCGATAAACTAGGCCGCTTTCTCGAAGCAGCTCTGTCGCTTCACTGTTCGCTTCTCTGTCTCTTTCTCTCTTTCGATGATCCAGGCCAGTTTCTCGAATCCGATGCGTTGCTTCGCTGTTCACCTCTCTTTCCCTCTCTCTCTCTCTCTCTCGCACGAAGAAATAGGCCAGTTTCTCGAAGAAGCAGTGTTGCTTCACTGTTCGCTTCTCTTTCTCTCTCTCTTTCGATGAACTAGGCCGGTTTCTCGAACCAACTGCATCGCTTCACTGTTCATCTCTCCTTCTCTCTCTTTCGGTGGAAAAAGCTAGATTATTCAGAACAGTGCATCGCTTCGCTGTTTACTTCTTTTTTTTTTCCTCTCTCTTTCTCTCTCGATGAACGAGGCACCACAACGAAATCTGTTACTGCAGAAATGGCAGTT